TCCTGAACCTTAATCATAATTTTATGATTAAATCCAAAAAACCTTCCTAACACAACACCCCTCATCAGGAGGCATAACATGAGCCTCCATCGTTGCCAGACAACGTTGCGCCCTCGCGACAACATTAACTACAACTTTAAGTTTATTTATTCAAGTTTAACCACAACACCCCTCATCAGGAGGCATAACAGGAGCCTCCATCGTTTCCAGACAACGTTGCGCCCCCATGACAACATTAACTACAGCTTTAAGTTTATTTATTCAAGTTTAATTTTAATTATACAAATTCAGTTATACAAACATTTTCATGTTAACAAAATATGAGTGCATACTCCCTAGAACCTAGATTACAAGAAGAGAACATAAGCTAGGATCTGTTATTATTGTGCATGAAACAAAATACATATTAATGAAATGTGAATATCACAGTAAATATAACAACACAAATATCTAACAATTTCAAAAGGGTAACATGCATTCATATTTTGTTCACTTCTCCCTTCGGGTTTTTCATTAGAATCTCTTCCTTATTCAACTATTAATAATCGTTCCCTCTTCCATCATTAACCTCTATTCCAGACTTTATAAGATAAAAAATGATTATTTTTGCGTAACACATTACCGATACCAATTTCATTGGTATCATCATCATCACCTCGTAGGAGTTGATGCAAGGTGATCCCCTTATCCGGGATCCTAATATATATTAAATGTATGCTAGCCATTAAATGGTGATCCCCTTACCTAGGATCCTAACATACTCTAAATATATGCTAGCTAAAACATGCTCGATCCCCTTACTCGGGATCTTAACATATACTAAATGCTAGCCAATACATGCTCGATCCCCTTACTCGGGATCCTAATATACACTAAATGTATGCTAGTCAATGCATGCTTGATTCCCTTACCTAGGATCCTAACATACACTAAATGTATGTTAGTCTAAACATGGCAATCCTCTTACCTGGGATCCTAACATACACTAAATGTATGTTAATTCATGTCTCAAATCACTCTTCTCATATTTCTTTTACCAATAATGATTTCACCACTCGGCAATTCACACAACGACCTTTCACCTTGAATACGCATACATTTAATAATTCACATTTCACATTGGTAATACATTAAATCAGGGAATTTAACTTAGAATGTATAGATGCAATTCACCTACCTGCAATAAAAACTCTACTTGTGCTCCTCTACTACTGCTGTTGCACCACACATATGGTCCCTCCTGCAAATCACAAGTTTATCTCATAAATTTTCCTCATCGAAGGACATGTTTTATAGTAACCATATCAACAACCAATAAGTCTTTTCTTTAATCATTTTTAATATTTTATGTTTTTTTTCATTTCACTAATTAATATTGTCATCATTTGTCTAACCATAGTTATCATTCCTTTTTTTATAGTTGGACTGTTACTATCCAACTGTTACTATCTTGTTTTTGAACCATTATTGTCTTGTTTTTAAACCATTATTCAATTGTTGTTGTCTTGTTTTTAAACCATTATTGTCTAAATATTGAGTTGTTACTGTTTAGACGTTGAGCTGTTACTGTCTAGACATTGAGCTGTTATTGTCTAAACATTGCATTGTTACTGTCTGGATATTAAACTATTATTGTCTTATTTTTTAACTATTACTATTTAAACATTGAACTGTTATTGTCTAGACATTGAACTGTTACTGTCCAACTGTTATTATCTAGACAGTGAAATGTTACTATCCTTTTTTTTGAATTGTTACTGTCTAAACATTGAACTGCTATTGTCCGATCTCTCCTCAGATGTTTAACTATATCTAGAGTTATAAACCAATTTTCTTAGTTAGTCAATATCTAAAACTATAATTTCTATGAAGAAACCTGATCCTAATTCCTTCATCCTCCTACTCAAATCCCTCTAAAAGTGAAGAGATGAAACTGTCCAAATTTGTCAACCTTTCTATTTACACACAACATATGAAGTTATTTAATTTAGCGACTCATACTTTTCTCTTAATTTAAGTCTAAGAACTCTAACTATAATTCAACTTCCAGGCATCAATTTATAATAGACTTTTAAATGACTTATAAAACCATGTTTAGAACACCTTACTCGGTATAAATCAAGGTTTTAATCTTCAACTCCCTTCTCTCTTTTTTAATGACAGCTGACCCTCCCTTCTTCTCTTCTTGTTCAAATTTTCTTTTTAATCCTTTGCCCACCAGTAGTTATTCTACGCATAACTCTTAATCTTGGATGAGTTCTTGGAATTTTTTGTGTTTCTCTCTTGATTTGTAAAATAGATACAAAAACTCCCTCTTTTTTTCTTTATGAGAGTCGCATATCTTTATTTATTTATTTATTATTATTATTATTATTTATTATTATTTGAGAAGATGAGTATTTATACTTTATAATTATTCTTATTTTCATTTAGGCCATATTTTCTTTAAGTGTATTCGTTTTGTCCCCACTTCTTTTTAGTTCAGTTATTTTCTTTAATTTAATTCAGTCTTGATTTGTCCCGGGATTTACAATCAGGCCCACGTTGCCTTAAGTTCAGCTAATTCGTGAACCCAAGGGTGTTATGCCAGACCCACATTACTTTTAGTTCAGCTAATTGATAAACCTAATTGTATTGAGTGTTGCATGCTGCTAGAACCATGTTGTCTTGGGTTGTTTAAAGCAATAAAAATAACAAAAAATATTGACTTATCACAATCAAAGCTTTTCTTCTCATTGTTTCTTCTTCTTATTGTGATGCTTATATTCCTGTACAATTTGTTTGAATGATTTATTTTCTTACAATAAGCGATATTATAAAAACTTCATGATTTTTTTTGAAAGAATTGCATTAAAAAGAGAATTCAACTCTCTTGCATAATAATTCAGTATCAATTCAAAGTTTGTAACCTAAAATGTGTATGATGAATCCTCTTTTCAAATAGTTTAATTAGTTCTAACTAGTTTAACCTGCTTGCACTTTCACTATGGGTTTAAACATAAAAAAGACACATTTGGATCATTAAAAACTTTCCAATATTGTCATTAAACTCAATACAATAATTTAAACTTGAAAATTTTCTACCTAACTTTTTAATTGATATTTAGTTAGTCTATAAACCTTGTGATTCAAGCTAAGGACTCCATTGGGTCAAATTATTATTTTTTATTTTATTATATCATAGAAATATCAAAATTAATTTTCATATCATCAACTCAATTCTAACAATAAAATTAAATAAAAAAAACCCGTGTTCTTCTCACAATGCCCATAATTAATAATATATTACAATTATTATAATCAATTGACCATATGTTATACACATAGAGTTAATTATATATCAAAAATAATTATAATCAAGTTTATTATACACATAGAGTTAATTATATATCAAAATAATTATAATCAAGTTTATAAACCTGGAAGTCCAAATAATTGAGCTTTTTTCCACGTGGGGAAAGTCTTCAAAAAAATTAGACGAGTAAAAAGTTTAACGATAAGAATTGTTTAAAAAACATAATCACAATAAAAGACATTCATTTAGAATTATAATGCTTTTTAACAAACATAATATTTTCCTCCTTATTATCCATATATTATTACAATAACTAATGTTCTATGATATTATTTTGGCATGATTGATGGAGCACAATCGACTTTTTTTCAACTGATTACATTTTCAATACATGCATTATCTAATATGTAGTCTCCTTGAAGAAACCCACTGCCATCATTAACCATATATAATCTGTCAAAAAAAATTAGAGATTAATATTGTTAAGAAAATAAAATTAAAAAAATAGAAACCATGTTATCGTTAAAACAACTGACCAATTTTGTAAGATATTTTTGAATGAGGTGGAGGTTAATTATTGGATGAAGAAGGTTATGGAGATAGAGGAGGTGGGGGTTTAAAGAAAAAGGGAGGCAAAAAGAACCATGGAGGAGGTGAAGATTTGAGGATAGGTGGAGGGGGAGAAGGAGATGGAGGTAGCAGGGATTTAAAGGGAAAGAAGGGAGGAAGTGTAAACCTTAAAAGAGGTGCAGATTTGAGGATAGGTGAAAGGGGTGGAGGATCAGAAGTATAAGGAGTTGATGGAATTGGTGAAATTTTTGATGGGTATGTCGGAGGAGTATAAGGATGCAATGGAGATAAATTGAGAGTTGAGGATGGGAATAGTGATGAAATGGGTGAAATCTTTCGAGGGGGTTTCGAGAATATATAAGGAGATGAATTGGGATACAGGGATGGAGATAGCGGTGAAATTGGTGAGATTTTTGGAGCATATGTTGGAGGAGTGTAAGGATGTGAGGGAGATAAATTGGGAGTTGGGGATGAGGATAGTGATGGAATGGGTGAAATCTTTGGAGATTTTGCTGGTGGTGGAGGTAACGACGGCCGATGATAGTAGACTTTTGGAGGTGATGGGGGTGTTTTCTTCTTATTTAGAGGTGGTGGTGATCGGGGTGGCGGCGGTGTTCCTCGATTAAGAAATCCTGGTGGCAGAAATGGAGAGTTTTTGTGATCACGAGGTGGCCTCGGAGGGTCCTCATTATCATAAGTATTGGCTGCAACGTTAATTGCTATTAAGCCGAAAACCATGGCATGCACGAGATGAGGCCAAGATGGTGACGCCATCCTTTCGAACTCTTCCCGATAATCAAACTTGCTCTGGCTAATTAGCTCCTGAACAAGGAATGGACGTGAACATTTGCTTTTATAGTTGTGTTTTTAGTGTATAAAGACGAGTTGATCCCCTGTGTATTTAGGTAATTAAGGAGGCCTATCTAATGGAACAATAATCATAGCTAGGGGTTGAACCCTTTGGGCAATTAACATAGCATAACTGTAATTTTAGTAGACTTTTTAATTGAAGGGACCATTTAATCCTATGGTTTATTTGGTGTAACTACAATTAGAAATCTTCTTAAAGAGACGCTACAAGTCAGTTTAATTTAGTGGACCATCTAATCCTATCTTAGGAGGTATGCTAAAACCTCTCCGTCGGTTCAGTCAGTTCTTCGCATCTAGCACCCCATCCTCATCACAAAACGAAAATGAAAAGCGCTAATTGATTTATTATGAGTGGTGAAAAGTACTAAAGAATTATTAATCAATATAATTTGTCAAGTTTTAAAAATTGATTTTTCTTTTCTTTTTTATTGTGACTTTATAGAATGAGAAACTTTATGCCTTGTTGTTGGTGGGGTTTTAGTAAACCATATGTTAATTAAGTTTTATAGATAAATTTTAAAGGTATTTTTTAAATGATATTTTTTATTTGAAATTATTGTAGCAAATCAAAGGTTCTCTTATTTGATTTATTTTTACTTATTTTTTTATTATCAATATCATAAAAAAAACTCTAAAGACAAAAATTGATTTATCCCTTCAAATTGAATTCAATTCCAAGAGCTCCAAACAAGGAGATAAGGAATCGCCTTCCTTTATATATTTCCCTTTCTCTAGATGACTAACATTAGCGTTCTCCAATATTATTCTTTTTTTTCTTTTACTTTAATATTGTGCTGTTAAATTATATATATTTGATGATGTTTTAAAATTCAGAATATATAAATAACAAGTTATTTACTATTTAAGATAATAGTTAATCAATAATTTTAAGTACAATACTTTGATTTTTTTTTAATTTAAGAAATTTTGGATTTATGATAAAAGTTTAAGCACATATAAAAATAATCCTTGATTTATATTGGTTATATATATATATATAATGATGATGATGAAGATTACAATGCAAAAATATAATTATAATATTTTCTATATACACATTTTATAATAAAGCTCATTTGTCTTTCAAGGATTTATAACCTCATCAATTGCGTGGTCTTTCAAACAAGAAAAAAAAAAAAAGTAAAAATAGTGTTTGAAAAGTCATGGTTGGGATTACTTAACCATATGGGAATGTTTTAAAAATCATGTCTTTAAAAATTTAAATTTATTTTGATTAAAATTATTTTTTTTATTATTTTGATATACTGATATCAAAAATAATTTTTTAAAATTATATATATATATATATATATTAATTATTTTAATATATTTCTAAATAAAATGATACTTTAAAAAACAATTATAATCATATTCTTAAACACCTATGTAGTTTTGATGAAACAATTGTAGTAGACGATAAGCCCTCCAATAAGGATGACATGTCTTCTCATTTTTTTTCTTATATATTAGTATATTGGCCAGTGCTCCACATCGAATTAATATTAATTTTTTAAAAATTGAAAAAAACTATTAAGATAATAGAAAATATTTGAAGTATCTTGGGTTTAGCAATTATGCCAGACCCAAACAATAGACCCAAGCAACATGAGTTTGGTGGACATCTAGACCTAAGAGTCTTAGGTCTGACAGCTATGCTACATTTAAGAGACTTGTATCTAGCATTCATGCTAGACCTATGCGACTTGGGTCCAACAACCATGCCAAACCCAAGTGACCTGGATTTAGCGGCATGCAAGACACAAGAGACTAATTGGGTCTGTAAGTTATTCTAGACCTAAGAGCCTTGGGTTTGGCAGCTATACCACACCTAAGAGACTTGCGTTTAGTGGCTACACCAAACCTATGCAACTTAGGTCTGGCAGTCATGTCAGACCTATGACCCATAATCCTTAGGTTTGACTAAAATGTCGGACCCATGGACCTGAGTCTATAGGCCATGTCCGACTCAAGCAACTTGGGTTTCATAGACATGCCAAACCCAAACGTCTTGGGTTTGGTGAACATCCCAAACCCAAACATCTTGGGTATGGTGAACATCCCAAACCCAAGCGACTTGGGTCTAACGGCTATCCTAGACCAATGCAACTTGGGTTTGATGGCCATGTCAGACATATGAGCCTTGGGTCTTGTGAACATGTCAGACCGAAGCACCTTAGGTCTACGGTCATACTAGACCTAAGTTGCTTAGGTTTGGCTTGGCTACCAGACCCAAGGATCTTGAGTCTGACAACATTTAAAACCCAAGAGCCTTTGATTTGATGGCTATTCCAAATCCATAAGTCTTAGATCTTGATTAGTACTTAAAAGTGTATTTTTATCAAGGTTTTATATCATCATTTTTCACTTGAAGTATCAATAACTCCTTAACTAAAGTATGTTTTATAATAACATATCTAATAATACAAGATACCTTTAATTTGTGGTAAATGTTCATTTTAAATGTAGGCCTATCACATAAATGAAAGGACTGATTGATGAGTTTAAGAACTAAAATTGAAAGGATAAAGAAATGGTCAAACTTAGAAAAGAGATGCTGGTGCAATCCAAATCGGAACACTTTTCAGTAATTAAGTCATATTTGGAGCTGTAAATCTTGGATTTAGGTCTACTTTATATGGATGGAAAGGTAAAACATAGGCCTATAACTTTCATAAGAGCCCAAGATTCAAACCATTTTCAAGTCCAAATTGTAGCAATAACAAAGAAGTCTGAATATGTCCTGTAGAGCGAATATTATTCGGTGTTTGGCCTATATCTGGAGTTATAAAAGTCCAAATGATCTCAATTTTTTTTCCTGGAAAGATAAGACAATTTCCTAGAGCTTTTATGTTTTCAAGTGGTTTCAATTCTGATGTTATTAATAACATTTTAGGCAAATAAGAGAAGATAAGGATTGTTACCAAGTCAAGAGTTGGTCACCCATTCATCAATTAGTCATCAAATCAATAATTCCCAA